TGTTCCAACTGAGTCGTTCGCTGGAATCAGGTGCTCTAGATCTGTCGAGGAGACCAGCCAATTTCCGGAGCAGAATCATGGAGGTGAACGCATGCGTGCATCCAGTTATCCACGACAGCTGACTTTGAACAGGTCAGTATACGTCCTCAAATTAAGCCAAACGCATATCCCATCGAACTAATTCGAGGGCTAGTTTAAATTTTTCCCGATCCTCTGGCCACGGGTAAGCAGTGCGTCATGTTACACCTTGATCTGATTGAAATCGCAGTGGTTGGTTTTACATCTCTAATGAGCATGCAGGAATAGCAAAATCATGACGTAGTTTAATAGACAGTTTAATTTCTATGATCTTTGCTACCTAGCCTGCGAACGGCAGACGTTTTTCCTCGCTCATCGCCGCTGAGGAACGTTTCGCGTTTCCTCCCCGCGAAACGTCCCTCAGCGGCGATGAGCGAGGAGAAACGTCTGTCGTTCGCAGGCTATTTGCTACCTAGTCACTTATTAATACGCTGAAAGGGTCTTTTAAAGAAAGCCATGAAATTCTAAGTAAACATCCGGAAATTACAGCAGTTACAGGTCATAATGACTTCCATAAACATCGTACAAGCGTCAAAGTTTACTTTTTCAGCCAGTATAGCATCCAAGTTTGTTAGCAACTGTTTCCAATTTGTCTTTTTCCCCGGGGGGGTAATGCCATATATGGGCTATATAGGTATGTGCAGCTGTGAAGGGTATGGTTTTCAAGCAGTTTACTCTAGGATAGGGTATATAAATCAGAGCGTTTGGGTCTAGAATAGGGTATCATTTTTCAGGAAACTGATCAGTTGGTTGAAGATTTTATCTAGACTAGGTAAACAGCTACTCTAGGATAGGGGGGATTTGGGAAGTTTACTCTAGAATAGGGTAGCAAAATTCAGCAGAACTAGCTCTGGTAAAGGTTAAGGGTTCCAGGGTCCCAGCGGCACATCCCCACCAAGAAATTCCTAAACTACCCCCCCCCGGGTCTTTTCCCTATCCCACAACTCAAAAACCGCCCTTACAAAACCAACCAGACTTTTACGAAAAATGAAATAATCATCCTAAAGCCGATTTGTCTATACAGGTCAAGTCCACCAGAGCCTTTGTTAACTAAAGGTCAGATCTGTGGTGGAGATTATACTTGGATTATAGAGCATTTCTCTCAGCTCCTCCAGGGTGATAGTGATGGAATAAAAACATCACTTGATAGTCCTCCGATTTACACTAGTTTGTGTGGATACAAGTTCTTCATGCGTATCTACCCAAAAGGCGATGATGGTGGAGATGGAAGTCACATTGGCCTGTTTGTTGGTATGATGAAGGGGGATTTTGATAACAGGCTAAAATGGCCATTTTGTGGACGAATCTCCCTCTCCATGTTGGATCAAAGCAATGATGCTCACAGCTTCTGCTACGATGTCAGTGGCACTTTCATGGCCAACAGAAATCTTGAAGCTTTTCGGAAACCCTCTGCCAGCGGACGATACACTACCCTGTATGGCTACGAAAAGTTTGCGCCCATCGACATGGTTTGTCGCCCACAGTACTCTAAAGATGATGCCGTGATGATCAATATTGAGATTCACAAAAATTTCTAAACATTTTTCATATAAGAACGTGCAACTGCCAGGCTGTAAAAACTCCATAAAATGATTTTCATACTTCATGAATCAAAATACATCTAAGTAGAAAAACTGAAACAGAGCTTCAATGATAATCATTAGGCTTCTGCTAAGAGTAATCAGCATCAAATTTTTCTTTTCAATGTAAGTGCTTCATAAAACAGAGGGAAATCGATAAAAAAATCACCAAACAAGTTGGATTTCCTAAACGTTCTCGATCCCACTTGATCCATTTGGGAAATGTACAACGGACAACAAATGAGGACTTACATTTTTTTTATATAAGGGGTTTAAAAGGCCTATAAAGAGAATACCGACCTTAGCTTCGGATGTCCGCTCTAAACATATGTATTGTCTGCTTAATACAAGCGTTTTTATTGAAAATTTGAGAAAAAAGTTCATACTCTCCAGTACACAACTTTACACTTACCGTCGTTGTGAGTTTCCTACGTAGGGAGAGGGGGTGGTACTTGGCCCCAAATATTGTTGCCAGAGTGTTCCGCGACGTAAATATTCGTACAGTTAAATGCTGCACATGCAATTGATGCAAATACCTTCAATAAATATAATTTTGCAACATTGTCGCTATAAGAGCCTTGGTAATGTTTGCCCGTTCTTTACCGTGTGAGAAGAAAATCATTGTTTTAGTCTAAGCCGAATGGATTTACTGTATAGTCTATTTCTTTTAGATGTAACGCTAGAACATCGTCTATCGTTATTTTTGCGGGAGAGCAAAACTAGGCCGTAGGTTTGAGTAGGTAGTGTAGAGTATCAGAGACAGTGCGGGAAGTTTGCAGTTATTTTCTCAGTGAAAACGTATATTCCGCAATGTAGTCATATAGTGTATAGCTGTAAATATTATGAAGCGGGTGGCGAAAAGTTTTCTTGAAATTTTACGTCATTTTAAAAACATCGGCACCTGTCAGTTTATGTTGCAATTAAGGAGGCGAAAGCGCGCTTTCGTCTCTAGAGAGTGGTGCTTGCCGTGGAGATATTCTCTATTGCCAAAAGGTTTGATGGACCCTGCGAGCAGAGTCTCCTAGGAAAGATCGAGGGAGACTCTGCTTGCAGGGTAGGTTTGATGGAGATGATTCATAGAATAATAAATTCCCCTAAAGACTAAACTTTGTTTTCTTTCGCCATCCCTATTTTATGCGAAGAAAAAGGCTTTCGTAAAGTCAAAAAGTAATTAAAAAACGCTCAGCTATTGTGTAGTATCGCTGGTAGTGTCCTAAATCAATAAAGCAAACGTGAAACGTTACGCATTATTTTTTTGTTATTTGAACTGCACGTACATTTGATTTCATAATATGGGAAGCTTGTTTGATTTCAGTCCGTTAGATGGCCATCAATGATGATAGATCAACATGTAAATAGTCCCTGACTTCCATTCTTCTTTCATCGTTTTTAAGAGACAAGATTCGTCCCAATGATCGACTCATTCCATCCCGTCCGGACCCCGCCTCATTTCACGCTCCGTTTCTCATAGTTTTTCCAAACAAGTTCTTAGGAAAAAAGAAACATTCTATGGTAACTAAGTAAATGCTTCTTCATCTGTAATATAAAAAGGTCAGCAGTCCTTTTCATCGAGTTCAAGACATGAACTCCTCTAGAGCCTGTACTTTGAAACTAAAAACAAAGTTTGACTTTTTTGTGGACGAAAGGAAAAAATAAATTATAATCATGAGACTAGGGTAATGGTCACCAGGACCAAGGCACGTATTCTGGAAAGCTTCCAGACGAGGAAACTGACAGGAAACAAGGGAAACGTGAGGCATAATGGGATGGAGATGAATGGTCTGGTGGCTCTCGGGTACGAGAACGTGGTTTCTTTCAGCTCAAATAAGGAGGGGTGGGGGGTTCGCGTTGGATGGTGGGGTCTTCCCTCTTTCTTGCATCAAGGCTGAGGTGTTTCTATTGTTGCTCAACCGTCGGCTAGGACCATTTCGGGATGAAAAAATAGTAAAAAAACAAAATCCTATAAGATCTTTTATAACAGGCCAGGAGCCCATGAACAGGCCTGTTTGTCCAGATGTTTCCTTTTATGATTAAAATCTTGCTGCATAAAGAAGAATAGTGCATTTAATGTAATCTCTAGGCCTTTCCCTTGGCTGTGGGAGATCTGGGTACGAGATTTCATTTAAGTATCAATTGCGGAAATATTTCTCCCTGACTACTGATTTTGTTAAATTTTTGCTCAATTTTGCAATTTTCTGACGCAGCGAATCTTTACATACCCGACTATCCTACGAGTAGCTGTGCCCCTCCTCCACTCCTGCAGAGAACATGGGGTCCTCCACTTCCACTGTCTCTCCGGGGGAGGGCACGGCTACAGGTAGGCCAGTCTGAGTGACAGGTAAAAAAGGATCCGTTGTGTTCATTGTGTTGTGTCTGAGAGAACCCCCTCCCCATCCTTCAGAATTGATTTGATATCATTCATTGTTTTCAATACCCAAGGTGTCAGAAGGTTTTCTTTCTTTCTTTCTTCTTTCTCCTCAAACATATGTCCCTACTTATGATAACGTTTTGCCGCGGTGTTACTGATGATCATTTTATTTGGAAGAGTGTAAGAGCCATTCAAAGCCCAAAGGGGGTCCCCGAAGTTCAGATTCTAATCCTAACGTGAAGTCAACGTTCAGTGTGGGCGTTTTCTCGTTGCTTTGTGGTTTGTTGTCGCCGCTTCATGGCTCAAGAATGTTTCAAGAGAAATATGGAAGCAATGCCCTGGAGCTAAGGTGTGTTTTCTAGTGATGTTAAGATCCTCGATGTCCTATAATAAAGTGGTAAAATGCTTTTTCTTTTGGCTGACAAGTAAAAACTAGCAATCGAGGCTACTGAACCAGGCAATAAATAAGTCTTAACGGTAACAGGACTGACTGAAGCACATCAACCAGTGAGTGAATAAACTAAAAAGAACCAAAATATTGAATTGCTTCACAATAAATCATGTTTTCACAATACCTTTGTACTGTACAAATACTTGCTCCCAATTTAATTGGATATGTAAGCTTATATAAATTATACATTAAATTATTAGCTCCAATAGTCGTTTATAAAAGCAAACATTAAAGCACTTGCTTACATTAATAAACGATGAAACGAGAGTAAAGACAAAAGATGCAAGAGTAGACATATTCAGGTAAATACAGATAAATTGATTACGTTAATGAGAAATGTGCAAAAGAGGTGAAAAGTTATAGTTAAGTAATGCACTAATACACCTATTAGAGGTGAGAGCTGATGAGAGTCTACTAAATTGTACATACTTTGTACACTTTTTATACTTAATTAACAACATTTACAAGAAATACTCAAACACAACATCATGTAAGAATTTTTGTGATAACAACTGACAAAAAAATTCAGGAAAAAAAAGATTTAAAATTTACAGATATAAAAAATAATTTGCTCTAAAAAAATTAAAATAAATTTCTATAGTCTAACAAATCTTACTATCATGATGGGTGCCAAGGCTCTGTGGAAAAATAGTAGGGAGCCTGTGAAAAACAGTGAACCCAGCATTTAATGATCTTTATGCAAAGACAAAACAGATTTCCAAGTAGCTTTTGTTAAAGCAACACTATAGGGGCTTTGGGGGGCTGAGGTAGCACAGCCTGGGGACTAATATGGGATATTGACAACAATATCATTACTTTCAAACCAATCAATAAATTATCATACTACTTATGTTTACTTGACATCACTGGTCAATAACTCATTATTATTTTATTGTAAAGGAGATGGGTCATGAAATCTATTAAAATTCAAACAGTGGGGAGCTGCCACCAAATCATTAATTGAGTGAGACATTAAAATAACAAGTCAAAACTCTAAAAGAACAGTTTTGTTGTCTGTAACATTATAATTTTTGACCGGGAGACATATCCAGTTCAACTTAAAGCTGTAATTTTGTAATTTACCAGTAATTTTGTCATTGAAGCAAAGTTCCATTTTGAGTAAGGATGTTTAATATTTGCAAAATTAGCAAAATGAACTAGAAAACTGTGACACAGCCCCTTTAACCCACCTGGAACTGTTTACAAGTCAAACAATTCTGATGTTCCTAAGTCATATATATGGCCATACTGCCTTATTCTACAATGATTTTTGACACAAAAATGAGACAATACCATAACTCATTAACAAAAGAACTAAAACAGAAATTACACTGGCTACTATCTGACAACACTGTATAATCATGTTTGTGTTCCTTTAGCAGATGCTGCACTGCTTGTAATGAGCCATTGTTTGGCATTGGTTCAATGCCCAGTAAATGACACGTAAGAGAGTATATATTCACATTTTCAAATGGTTCTGAAACAAAGCCTTCTTTGAATGCAGGTCCTTGGGCAAGAAAAAAGGGGTGCATATCAGGGAATTGGTTACTGTAGCCATGGTTACCACGACTGTCAATTTTTGACTTGTTTTTTGTAATGGTCCATCCTTCTTCCGCAACAACGAAAATTGGCATGACACGCCAGTTATGCTTGTAATGAAACTCTTCAGATATTTCTTCTTTAAGGTATGTATATAGATGTGGAACAGTCTTGAGCTTTTGGTAGGTGTCGTTCAACCTTCCTTTCTTGGGTAGAATATGAAAAAAACACATTAGAAGCATGGTCTGCCATGTTTGGATCAGTGATGAGTGTATACCAGTCTGATGGAATGTAATAATCCAGCTGGATAAGACGGGAGTTGTTGACATCTGCCATGTCATGGTCACTTGTGATAATCAGGTTTACCTAAAATGGGTCATAAAAATACAATGGAAATATAATTAGATCCATGAGTTGTTACCTAATAATAATCTTAAGGGACACATAAAGAGTTACTACATCGTACCATATATATAATATATCACAAGCATTTACTAAAAGACATTCTCTTCATAATTGAATAAATCCAGTTCCACAAATGAAGACCAAAACAGTATGCCTTTTTATGTCCTTCACCTATTTCGACCAGCTTTACTGGCCTCCATCAGAGTGAATGGACATTACAAGCACCGAACACCATTGACAACACACAAATTTGAAAATTTGCACACCCTACAAAGAAAGCTAGATGCACGCACGCTTTTACCCACTGTGAGACCTAGTAGTAGCCCTATTCTGGCTAAAAAAAAGTCACTTTCATACTAGCCCTGAGGCTGAATGTAGTTCAACATAATATTAGGCCCAAGGGCCTTTTTTTATCCTGGAGTGTTGACTTCCCCCCAGAGTCAATAACTAACACTTATTAACCTTGTCCATTCGGTCATTACAGGGAAATCTCAGACTAAGGTCAGACATTTCCCGGTAATGACCGAAGGGACGAAAATAAGTTATTTATTATGAGGCCTTTTCTTTATGGACCTGAGCAAGCAGTCAATTAAAACCAACAGCTGGATAACTTTAAAAAAACACGTCACTTCAATGAGTTGTACACTAACTTGACCCCATGATACAGTCATGCGACACTGGTCAATCGATACCCTATTTGACAACTGTCAATTGACTATTACATGGATGTCCTGAAGGATGTTAGCCTGAGTATCACGCATTTCTGGGGGAGGGCCTAATACTCAGACTATAAGGATTTCCACTATCAAGTTTAGCACAGATTTTAGAAGCCAGCTAGTAATGCACGGCCATTGTGAGAAAATAATGCCCACTTAGCAGCCAATCAGAGCATGCGTACTACTGTAGCTATACTCATCTAGATTTAAACAGTATTTAAAATGAAAGTTGGGAGGCAAGGCTGGCACAGTGGTGAGAGCACCCATCTAGTTTTGCTCCTTTTTGGAGGACAGCACCCAGAAAATGGTCCGACTAGTTCTAAAAGGTGTTTTTCAGCAAAATTTCCAGGAGTACAGTGATTTTGTTACAAATAGTTATGTTGAGTCCTGGGACTCATCTTGTGAAAAATCGTGAGTCCTAGTCCAGAGCCGATGAGTCCCAGTTCAAAAAACAAAGAATCCTTAATTTGGCCTTTATATAACCAGACAGTTAATCTGACTGCAAAACTCTGTATTGCAGTTTACTGAATTAAAAATACACTCCTTCTTTTGTAAACCACAACAAAGACAAAACAATATTAATTGCTAAAAAGTAGCTGCAAGAACAGCCACAGAAATCACACAAACAGGATATTCTACGAAAGCACCCTTAGATCAATCGATCTACCGTTGTGCCCTACGAAACGCATGCCACAAATTATTTTGCATCTTTGGGGATTTTTTTTGCATCAAAGATGCAGGCAGGCGTAGAGGTAACAGAATCACTGGGAGTGTGAATGCAATATTCTCTACAAAAAATCTCCCATATCAACATCAATCGTTTTAAAAATAGCTAAACAATTTCCATTGTGACAATTTGTGTTGACAGCTGATGAAGCATCATCATTGGCTTTAGTAGTGAATAACCCTCGGCATTGGGTATGATCTAGTCATACACAAAGTATCCTGGATCACTGATGTAATCTAAACCCAGCTAGTGAGGTCTCTGAAGCAGTGCTGGGATCCTTGTTCTGGAACCACAATGGACTCAACAAATTACCAACCAGATTGGCTGATCCAACAATGGCTTCTTTACAGGCCAATCATAGCACATGCTATGAACTCCAATCCTGATACACAGCTGGGGAGCCAGAACAAAAATTTCGGTGCTCAGACATGCAGACAGACTGAACCATGAGATATAGTTTTGTTTATGACACAGGCCAGCAGTGCACAACGGCAAGGAGTGAAAGGGCTCCGTAGTCAAGCTTAAATAAACTTAATCATCGCGTACATAATTGTTGATGAAACAATCGTCGTCAGCTGATGTCAACTTTTCACAGTAAACTGATTGATTTGGTTATTATTTAAGATTAGATCTTCTTACCTGATTCAACAATCCTCGATTTCGTAAACTTTCCAACAGATATTCAGTGACATTATCCATCCTACGAATAATGCTTTTAATCTCTGGTGAATTGGGGCCAAATTTATGCCCACTGTGATCTGGCTCGTTAAAATAAGCGGCCAAAAAGCTTGGAGGATCAACCTGTTCTAACATTGTACATAAATAATCTATTCGTTTCTCGAAGGAAAGTGACCGATTATAGGGTAAATAGTGTGTAGGGTACTGGCCTTCTATTTTCACCTCTGAACCAGGCCAAAACACCACAGCACTCTTCTTAAAAGCTTTTTGATTCGTGATCCACAACGGTTCTCCGTTCCACCATTTTGAATCCAAGTAATGCTTTGACACCGCATCTAAGTAGAAAGTGTCGTTGAAAAAAGGATCGAAAAACGTATTTGCTACGATCCCGTGGCTTTCCTCATAAAGTCCTGTAACTAACGTGAAATGATTCGGGAATGTCTTGGTAACAAAGGTATTGAGAAGGTGTTTCGCTTTGACGCCATTACTTGAGATAAAATTCAAATTCGGAGTATGAACTTTCTCCATGTAGTCCCACCGGAAACCATCGTACGAGACCAAAATTACAGTGGGTTGTGTCAGAACGATTCTCTTATTAATCGAGGCGAAGGCGTTACGATTAGGAAGAAATAAGAATAATACCAACATGTGCAATCGGTCTAGCCTCCTAATGGCAAATTTTTGGAACGGCACTGCAATTATCATTTCAACCTCGTCTGCAGGGTTTTCTCGATTTTCAATAACGAGAAGACACTGGAGACGAGTGCCAAACTGAAGGTTGCATCATCTATTTTTGGGCGGCCCTTCGCATTTCAACGTCTAAACAACACCCGGTGGCACATCGTAACGCTAGCAGTCAATCAGAAAAAAAGTTACCCGCCTCGCAGCCAATCAGATGAAAAAGTCAACAAATAAGTTGAATAGAGATGCAAGGGAAACTCAAACTATGAACCGTCCCTGACAATTTAAAGCGAAAGGAGTAAGAGGCTACAGTTGTCAATTTTTCCCCCTACATTCGAGGATTTGCAAGTATGAGTTCCCAAAGCGTTCCTTGTATCTCTACTGGGACAACTTTAAACAATCGGTAGGTTTACAAGGCTTTTACCAGTTTTATTAGTTAGCCGAACGTGCAGCATAAATATTGCCACGGCGGAGTATATTCTAGTGTTAGTTTTAGTTGTGTTTAGTCTTGACAAAGAGATTCTGAAATGGCTTTCCATTTGCCCAAAATATTCTCGCAAGTTGCCCAAATCATTTTTTTACGACCGAAAAAAATTCAAAAACAAAAACATCGCCCCAAAATGAGGGAAATGTTTTCCTTCTTATTTGAATGACTCAAGAAGACGAAAGCCAAGTAGAGAAACTACAGGTTGGGTAGCTTAATTCAGGTGGAAAGTGGAAAAGTAGACTTGAGTGAGTGTACCAAGCTTAGTGTCGATGAAAGACCGGTTGCTCCGGACATGCTCGGCTACAGAACGTTCGTAGTGATTTAAAGCGTTGGGTCATGGTGAAAAGTATCGTAAGCTCTTGTAATCTCTCGGTGCGAGTAGGCCTGAAACCTGGGATGAATACTCCAGCACAAATGCCCTCCTTATATACTGTGAAAACGAGCGAACAATAGTTCGTAATTTGAAAGTGTAAGAACAAATTCTGGACAAAAAATACAAAGAATATAGCACATACTCAGCATACTTGCTATGCCCCGTCCTAAAACGAAGGAAAATTCATTTCCTGTTCCTCGAGCGACCGCGCGCCCTTTAAAAGTTGGCGCCAAAATTTATACACATATTCATTGTAACCGGTCCTAGAGAAAAATAATCGGTCATATTATCGGTTGAATTTTTAAGGTTTATTTTTTAAAATATCTACCACTAAGCATGCTAAATAAAATGAACATTTAGAGTTAATTTTGAGCAAAAATTGGTGTAAGGGGTGCCTTTCTCCTCAGCTAAGCTGAGAATATATAAAAATAATACCAAGTCAACTGATGTTGATAAGCAACCAGTGACAGCAAAATATTCACTTAAAAGATGCAAAGAGAAGATAGCAAGAACTTAAATTAAGGAATCGCTTAAAATAGTGATAAAATAAGATTTTGCAATTTGTCTGGCTCAGTTTAATGTACAGAGATATATATATATATCACGACAGCATTATGAACTGCTGTTTACGACTGAGCAAACCAATTTGAATTCCCTAGTTTAAAAAATTACAAATCAAAATTCGTAGATAGACATGTCACGGTTCTCACTAAAATAAGCTGTACAGACTGTTTTCGTGTTTCAAACACAAAGAGAACAAGCACTCAGCCATGTATCGGGCGCGAGTACTAACACTATTTAATAACGTTTAAAAGATCGTTCGCCTACCCATAAGTTGATAGCTTTTCCCATGTATTTACAAACTTGATAGTTACCAATGAGTCGTTAACAAAAAGATATTTGTATTTTAGAATGAAAATGTGATAAAATAAAACCAAGTTCAGTGGTGCAGAGTAAAATACATGATCAGTTAAAGATACTCTTTTATTTTATTTTAAGAGATGCTGAATTAAGGAAATTACATCTCCGCTTCCAAGAATGATGTTCTGTTCAAGCTAACTGATTTTAACTGTGCGCTGAAAGAGATCTAAAGAAGAAAGCTTAAGTCTGTACAAAATTGAAGATAACTTTACCTTGAACGTTCTTTGTATACATGTATTTCAAAGCATAGCTTTCGTAATTTCTTCCAGGTGGATCGGTTAATGTGCAAAAACTGCAAATATCAGTCCATATCATCTGAATGTATACTACTGATTAATAATTTTCCTTTGCTTCATGTTTTGCTTAACGCACCCACGCCAGCAGTGTGTTTAATTCAACTTCAACTCCACTGAACTGATAGGTTCTGTAGGTTTTGTGATGAAGCAGATGCACACAAGTCGGTTTCTCATTGAGTTCACTTTATAATATTAAAATGTCCGGCTATTTCGTGCCATGTTGGGTAATATCTTGGCCTGATAAAGTACACCATTAGTTTCCTTCGCCTGCGGAAATCCAAGGATGACCAACATAAATTTACAGCTTTGAACAAGTCAATGGCGGAAGTTAAGTGTCGCTCTGAAAGGCATCACAAGACATATTGACATGGAACCCGCTTTCCCTTCTCCGACAAATCATTTAAAATGTCGTCTGTCCATTCTCTTTAGTTTCTCAGTGAACTCCATTTATCCTCTACGTCATTGTTTTTGACAAGCTGGTCACGCTACACTTCTCGCTTCAGTCTGTTGTTTCGTCAGCGTTCTGTCTGATGAGAGCGCTGAGGGCATCTACCATTTATTTGCCTCCATCACAATAATTGATGATCCTTGCAAATAACTCACTCGAACTCAAGAATCTGTCTTTAATTTTCTACCATCAAATTGTTTATTATTCACCTATTAACTTCAGGTATTGATGGTTTTCACAGTCACGTCATCAGATTGCAGAGTCAAAGAAGCGAGGGTTTACGAATTCTCATATACATTAGGTTGAAGATAAATAGAAAATAAATTTTTGTACAAGTTTCCAGCCCCGAAGCACCTTTCATTTCGAAAATACAGCAATTTGAACTTCTGAGTTTTCACAGTGCGTGACACCAGAATAGGAACGCTGTGCCATTGAAAAAAGTCTCTCCTCTTGATTTTCAGTAGTTTAACCATTTCGGGTTCTAAGAGATGTGTTTATGCGCAAGTATGCTAGCTCCTGAAAGAAAAGGAAGAGCTTTTATTGACAAAGTGAGCTCCAGATGTTTTTCGGCGGCCATATTGGCTATATATTGACAGTTTCTTTCCACCAATATGGCGTCTCCGTACAAAGCTCTAGAAAGGTGAGTGAAATGTTTCGGCCAATAACTCAGAAACTGCGGGCCACAAAGTTCTGATATTTGGAAAAATTATTTATATGTTAGTCTTTTATAACATTTCATGAATTGCCAGATCAGGATTCGCAAAGCACGAAACGCGAGACGCCCTCGCCCACTTTCGTGCTATGACTGACAAAAGATCATGGTGTTCTGTTGACGGAAAGGTAGCAAACTTCTTCCGTGAGACTTTGTTCGCCGGCCAACACGAAATTATGACGACTTAAGGTCCCAGAGTAGGTCTACAGATCTTGTGATCAAAGTTACATTTTTCTAGTCTTGGATACCTCTCAGTCAATCAAAAAAAAGCATTTCTGGGGGGGCGTTATTGGGGGTGTAGGCTCCTGGTATACTTCGCTTCTGATTGGCTTATACCAGGAGCCTATTACCCCACCCCCATAACGCCCTATCACTTAATCCCAAGAAATTTCGATTTGACTTAAATTTGGCTTCGTTCACAACACAACACGAGTAGAAAGTTTGGAATTATGAGTTCTCAGAGCAATCTCAGGGCTGCTGGAAGAGAGATTTGCACTCGGTAGGTGGAAACATATATCAGGCTTTTACACGAGGTGTTCGATGGCCGGGGTATAAACGTACATACCAACACGACGTTATCGAGCTTCCTTGGAAAAGGGCTTTTCAGCATAAATATTGACGGTACAGGAAGTAAATTAAGAACAAAGTTTTCACAAAAGTCTATTTACAATATCACATATGCTAACTTACTTTGGCTTACCCATTTCATGGTAAAACACTCTGTAAAAATGTTTAAGTAACTTAAAAGCCGGTTACAAATGTTTTGATATCATTACTCGTTTTTAAAATTTTTGCATCGAGTTGGTGATGCTGACTGACTCAGGCTTTGTCTGAGTGATCACGTGCTAGCAAGCGCGTTGAGGTATAGATTTCCTCCGATTGGACTTTGGCGCCACCCCACGTGATGAAATACACTGCGTCACGTGTGGAGGCTAAGCACGTCAGGATTTCACTTCATCATTTGCACTGGTGTATTTATTTTAGTAATGATAACAGGACTGAGTGGAGTCCAATTCGGTCTGTAATCATCGAGTGATTAACAAAATCGGACGACCCCGTAGCGGGAGTCCGATTTGTTTAATCACGAGTATGATTACAGACCGAATTGGACGACACGAAGTTCTGTTACCAATTAATCATAACTTTAACAAAATTGGAAATATAATAGGCTAATTTTTAAATCAAAACACAAGAAATTCGAAATTTTGTTTTGCTAGCAGTGAAAAAAAAAAGCCATTTAAGCGCGCTCGTGATGGCGCATACTGTCCAATTACTTAGGCATGACGCGTACTGTCCTATTTAACTGTCCTATTAAGGCTGATTCAGGGCAGTTGAGAGCCAGTCAGATTTGACAATTTTGTTATAGCTATGATTATTATTCAAATCGGAATTCCTTCCCAGTATTATATTAAGTATTTCTGCAAACGTTAAGGCTCAAGATAAAGGATTCAACAAACTATGAAGTAGCTAGTCAGAACTAACTGATGCGTACTGATGGGTGCCTTCCGAAGCAACAATCGTTACAAACAGTGTCTTGAGTTGCGTTCCCGCTTACTCCTCTTATTCTATTGAAGAGTTTTTGGGAGCAGAGGAAAAGGCTATAGTGTACAGTAGATGACTTTTGCAAGCATGAGTTTCCAAAGTAGTATTCTTTGTGCCACTACTGGGACAACGTTTAACAACTGGCCACCAAAGTGATACGAAGCACTGCATGGAAAATTGCCAACGCG